GTGCCCATGATCAATCTTTAGGCCGGCAGCGTGCCCTGGTTTTCTCCCACCGAGCAGCTAGCTGGTGGGCTCTCACCTATGGCATTTTGGTTGGCAGAGGAGTGCTTTAACCTCTGTGATACCAGAGCTCCTCAGCATAGATCTAGACATGTTCATCGTCACAGAAAGTTTGGTCAGTGCTACATTAAGCCCTTTAAACAGATCGTGGAGAAGTGGTTGGCCTCGACCAGTAGTTCCCCACTGCCCAGTCCCGTGTTATCCTCACAGTGCTATGTTTAGGGCTATACATGCAGCCGCTGTGCCGGTCTCTCTTGTTGAGGGTCTTCTTTTGCTGCCCTCGCACTTTACCAAGCCTGACAGCCTTTCCCAGGGACTGGTCTTTCCTGATCACAGGTCCAAATGACGTGCAAAGAACTCTCGCCATTTTCGGCTCTAAGGAAGATTCTGACTGTACTCCCAAGACAGATTTACCTGTCCTTTGGACCATCCATGTTACTTTCACTTTCCTTCGCCAGGCCACCATCTGAGCACCTCCGTTCTTCACTGCCCGGCGTCCACAGGCGCATGAGGCCCTGGACAATCCCAGCTCGCGTTGTATTTTAACTTACTCGTAACAGATGTAGTCTCTTTCATCTTTAAATAACAGATTAGTGTGTGACACACAGATCAGCAGAGGCAAAGAAAAGAAAGCTGGGCACGGTTGCCGGAGGGTGGTGGTGGTGGTGGTAAAGTGGCCAGAAACGAATGAATGAAAAAGATCACTGACATTCACATTATCTAACATTTCAGTGGGAAGATCTCATAAAATTGTATGGCACCAAATGTAAGTCAGTAGAGAGCCACTTTTATGGAGTTATAGTAGAAACAAAATTTATAGCAGAGAGTAATTCCCCAGATGCTGAAGATGTCGTAGAGAAATACCTCGATTCAAAGGGTACCTTTTATCAACGCTCTTGTCTGTAAACATTCACATAATGGTTGACCTACCTATATCCTCTGGTTGTGGAAATAGTGTACAATGCCCTTTATCTTAATTAGGGCTAAAAATACTGTGAGAAATTGAACTCTATTTTAACTCTTACAGCCGAAGTTCAGAGTGAAATCGAAAGGATTTTTGAACTTGCAAGAACATTACAATTGGTCGTCCTTGATGCGGACACTATTAACCATCCAGCTCAACTTAGTAAAACCTCCTTGGCCCCTATTATAGTCTATGTGAAGATTTCTTCTCCTAAGGTAAGCAGAGTTGGTGCCATTTGCTCTGTAATCAAACTTTAGTAATGTACCCTATATATGTGTGTATAAGCCGAGGTCTTTCAGCACATTTTAAATGCAGTTTTTGTGGTAAAATTTGGTGCCTCGGCTGATATTCAGGTCAGCTTATTCTCGAGTATGTATAGTCTGGTTTATGTTTTGCTTTTCAAGTTTAGCAGGCCATGTCCCAATGATGTATGTAAAGAGTTGAGGGGACATGGGCCAGTCCAGAGTTTTCTTTTTGGTTCCAATTTGAGCTTTCTTTTTTAATAAATCACTTTTGGGGTGTCTCTTTCAGCTCTTATAACAATCTACAGATCAGTTGTATCAAAAGTAAAGAATTTTTAAGCTTAATACAGTCAGTGTGATTAGTAAATTCACGGCTAGGAAGAATGATTCTAAAAGTATGGGCCACAGATCCCTGGGGGTGCCCTCAGACATTTTCTGAGACTCCCTGAGGTCCGAACTGTTGATGTAATGATGCTAAGGTGTTTTTCACCTGTTTCACTGCCTGGAGGTTTGTATTGATGGTGCAGAAGCCACGGTGAGTAAATCGTTTGTTTTCTAAGCAGGAACTAAGGCCGTGTTACCAAGCAGGACTAGCAGTTACTGTCTTTACTACCATGAACTCTCTCAATTTTTTTAAAAGTCAGTTTTAAAAATAAAAAAATAAATAGAACACAGTTTTTTTTGATATCCTGATTAAAAGTTTGGAAAAAATTCTTAACTGTATTACACAAATATCTTTAATATTATAAGTAATGCAGTGGAGAGTGTGCTCCTCAAGTGTTTCTGTACATCCCAAGTAAGACAGCAGTCTCCAAAAGTGTGATTTGGGTTGTGAAATGAACTGGCCACTTATTGTTTTCCAGTGGAATATCATTTTAATTTGGAAGGACAATGGACAGGCTGTAGTTCTGCAGACTTGGATATCTGGCCGATGTATTATGAATAGAATGAGGGGAGCAGTGCAAGGAGAACCCCTAACAGGGCTTGTTGCCGACGAGAACATCCAAGCTTACGGGGAAAATGATCGATTTAGAAGATGTGAATCTGCTTCTGTAAGCTTGGCATCATTCAAGCAATTAGGGTGTTTTGTTACTATTGATATGAATGCCTGATGATATTAATGACTGTGATGATTGATTTAATATTGTATAAAATGGGAAGATTAAGTACTGAAAAACTTAGTGCATGATTCTTTCCCAAGCATCAACAAACAATATTATAAGTCATGTATGTGAAAAAAATTTTTTAAGATAAATTCATTCAAAGTTAAAGATAGACTGAGGAAATATACAACAGTAAAAAAAAAAAGCTCATCGATATGGTTACATTCTACAGGGACCTTGCCTTTCAGAAGTTAGCCTGTTGAGTTTTGATGTAGTAGTGAAGAGTCGCCACAATTATCTGAGAAGGTGGGGAAAACGCGCCATCCTTTCTCAATTAAATATCTGCACAAGGCTGGTTTTCTTCACATGTTTAAAACCAAACAACGTATGCAAACCAGACCGAAGGCAGGAGCAGATGGGAAATGTGTCTTCTACGAAGCCGCACATTGGATAACGATAAAAATTCAGCTGTGTTTCTAGAAATAAGTAAATATGCCAGCAGATAAAAGGCACCATTTATACTCATGTATAAGCTGAGTTTTTCAGCACATTTTTAATGCAGTTTTTGTGGTAAAATTAGGTGCCTCGGGAACCGATTACATGGAACTGTGTGTGACCTCCTCCCTGGGGGACAGACAACCAAAAAGTGGATGAAGGGAGATGTCGGACAGGGCAAGATATGACAAAATACCCATTTATAAACTATCAAGGGCTCATGCGGGAGGGGGGAGCGGGGAGGGAGGGGAAAAATGAGGACCTAATGTCGGGGGTTTAAGTGGAGAGAAAATGTTTTGAGAAACGATGTACAAATGCGCTTTACACAATTGATGTGTGTATGGATTGGGATAACAGTAGTATGAGCCCCTAATAAAATGTCAAAAAAAAAAAATTAGGTGCCTCGGCTGATATTTGGGTCGGCTTACACTCGAGTATGAACGGTAAATCGTAACTTTGTTGAGGTGTAGAGTGGCCCTGTGACAAAAACTTTGAGACAAGATATGGGGGAAAGCCCCATGTCAGTTCCTTTGGTAAAGCCCGCAGCTGAGATTGATGTTCATCTTGAGGGTGCACGCATCTCTTTGATCGCTCAGTTCATTGAAAGCTATCTGTGCTGTATGCACAAAGGACCACGGAGAAGGAGGGGATCACGGACGCTGGGGTTTTCCTGAGTGCAGCTCTCTCGGTTAAAAACGCCTATCTTTTACAGGTCTTACAAAGGTTAATAAAATCTCGAGGGAAATCTCAAGCAAAGCACCTCAATGTCCAGATGGTGGCAGCGGATAAACTGGCTCAGTGTCCTCCAGTAAGTGACCACTACCTAGTACCATAATCCAGGTGAAGCAATCACGGGCCTGGCCTTGTTTATATCTAAAACACACACACACACACACACACACACACATCAGTGCCTTACACATCTGTCACAAAAAGAATCCTGACCACATAACAGTGATATCATGAACTCCCCCAAAAGTGCAGTGATATGAACTCCCCAAAAGTGAACTGTTCCACCTGCCACCATGATCACATGTGTTTCAAGCACATGAGCAGTCCAGCTTGATATCATGGCTTACCAAAAATGAGAGGGCATGTTACACTGCCCCCTTTTGTTCATATCGATGATCACCTAGTGGCTTGGGTCCCTGGAGTTACTCGTGTAAACAGCCAGCACTAATCAACTACATGAACTGAGAGGTTGAAAGTTCAAACCCAGAGGCAGCTCAGAAGAAAGGTCTGGCAGCCTGCCCCGCAAGGCCAGCCTTGCAAACCGTATGCAGTGCAGTTTTCCTCTCCATCTCAAGGGGTTGCTGTGAGTCAGAAGTGACTCAGGGGTAACTAACAGGCTTGGAGTTATTTTTAGTTACGATCTTATATGAAATGAAATCATGGTTTAACAATTTTGTAAGATGGATCTGTTTGTGGTTTATTGTTCACATCCAATCTTAGGAAGCGCATTACCTACTTTGAATTAGGTTACTGATTTGAAGCTGTATAAAACCAAATGTCTACACAAGACCCCTAGACTCTGAATTCTTTATACATTCGTACATAGTCATCGGGATTTTGGATTGCTTAACCTATGTTAATATATTGATGGTACACACTTAAAAAGTGTTTTTGTGCTTGAAGGGACCGGTTTAATGAATTGGGTTGTAAACCACAAGGTAAGCAGCTTGAAACCCCAGCCACTGTGCAGGGAAGAAGAGGAGGCTTTCTGCTCCCATAAAGAGCTGCCGTTTTGGAAACTCACAGGGCAGTTCTACCCTGTCCTACAGGGTAACTCTGGTTGGAAGTGACCCAATGGCAGTGAGTTTGGGTTTGGGTTAGAAGGGACGATCGTGATGCTTGTACCAGGCTGAGTCGTCAGTGATTTCCGCCCCTTTTTATGCCTTCATCGTACGTCAAGGTGTCTAGTGGAACAGTAGTAGGTTAAGTGCAGTAGGTCAACTTTGGAAGTGCAAATCAACGAGCCATCGCCAGGGAAAAGATGAGACTGCACAACGTCTGCTCCCTGTGAAGATGTGCAATCTTGGAAACCTCAGGAAGAGATCTGCTCTGTCATCTGGGGTCACTGTGAGTCTGAATTGGCTCGATGACAGTCGGCACATCTTGCTTCATTCAGTTCCACAATTAACAGTCTCCAGGTCCAGAACAGCCCCGATGGTGTAGTGGTTACAAGTTCTGCTGTGGTTTGCAAGATCAGCAGTTCGATCCCACCCACCAGCTGCTCCTCGGGAGAAAGACGAGGCCTTTCTACTCCCATAAAGAGTCAGTCTTGGAAACTCACTGGGGCCGTTCTAATCTGTCGTATAGGGCCACTATGCCATGGACCTGATGCCAGAGTTTGTTTTTTAGATTTTCGTTGTTGTTGTTGTTGGTTGGTCCAGAATAGCGGCCCAGGGTGGTCCACATCGCCAACATGCTGGGCTGCAAAACATAAGGTTGACAGTTCTGGTGCATCCAGAGGCTTCTCTTGAGAAAAGCCTGGTGACTGCTTCCAAAAATTCAGCCATCGAAAACCTCCTCCACTCTGACATGACGTAAGCGGGAGGTGGAGTCACCTTGAAAGCGATTGGTGATGGCCAGAAGAGGCCTCTTTCTCAACTTCAGCCGTCAGACTTTTTGTCACGTTTCTTTTCCACCATAATATCAACTCCCGTTGTCAAGGTTGACAGTAAACCTTTCTGTCATATACCTGTCTCGCTACAAGGGCAGCTTCAAAAGGTTCATGGGAAGTGGGATTGAAAGAGAGTGGAGCTTTTCCACGAGACTTTTGAGAACCCTCTCCTACGGCTATGCCTGCTTCCTGTATAGTCGTTTGTACTGGGTCAATCCTGAGTGAGCTCCATGGTGACTTGAGATGGACAAACACTTAGACGCCAAGCTCACTGCCAGCCAGTTGACTCTGACCCATCAGGAGGAGCCTCTAGGACAGAATAGAACTGACCTGCTTTGGTATTCGATGGCTACAAGCGTTTATGGAAGCAGACAGCCTCATCTTCCCGCCAAGCGGTTAGGGGGTGCCAACTGCCGATTGTGTGATGAGCAGCCCAGGGGGCTCCCCAATACCCACAGCCACATAGGAGATGATTACACCAGGCAGAACGTCAGCCAGCGGAGGAGGAAGGAGGAGCACCTGTCAGACCAGATACGTCTCATGAATCTCTCCTTCTCTGCCTCCCTCCCACCTTTGGGGGATGGGGAGGCCAGGGAGAAACTCAGGCAGAACCGGGCTGCCTTGATGTCCGTGTGATGGCTGCCATGGTTGCCTCTGCAGGAATTGTTTGATGTCATCTTGGACGAGAACCAGCTTGAAGATGCCTGCGAACACCTTGCCGACTATCTGGAGGCCTACTGGAAAGCCACCCACCCTCCCAGCTGCAGCCTCCCCAACCCTCTCCTGAGCCGGACGTTAGCCACCTCCGCTCTGCCCGTCAGCCCTACCCTAGCCTCTAACTCACAGGTAAGCGGGAAGGAGGGTCATTTTTTTAGGCTGCCAGCAATTATACCACTGGGACCCGAGCCCAGAGGTGAGGCTTCACGTTAGCTCCACTCCGTGCCTGTTCCAGTCTGATAGCTCAGTCCCCCTTAGGACACGAAGCCATTCATAAAGGACACCATTTGCCTAGAATAAAAGATGACATGGCAGGAAAGGGTAGGAGATCCAAATCAGAGGAAACAGGTACCTCGGGGCTGAACTGGAGTGTTGACATGGGGAGGAACGTAGCCAGGGATGTCAAACAGCTGATCCACAAACTGGAACTGTCCCAGGGGAGACTAATTCCCATGGTCCGCTTTCACCTGAAACACAGTACCTTTTCTATTTTTTTTAAATTTTAAAGCCATTCCACCAACGTAAGCATACATTGTATACTTGGAGGGAGTGCTAGAAACAGAATACACTGAACGCATACAGACTTCAAAACTCACTCAGTGTTTTGTAAGACAGGCATAGGGCCATAGCAGCAGAGACACAGGCCACAGCGGAGACTCCAGAACCCAAATGCCTAAGTGACAAACCACCCTTCCACAGCAAATTCCTCGGAGCACCTTCCTACCTGCTCAGCCGCCTGGGGAATCATACTGGCATTGATCTCAAGGGGCTGTTGTGTCATTTAACTATTGAGTATTTGTATCATTGTTATCCTTTGGTTTCCCCCACCCACTCCTGAATCCCTATCTTCAGCCAAAGGCTTACTGGTTGTAAGTGGCCCCCCGTGTACGCAAGTGGAGGGAAAGGCGGTGGAAGGTCCTCAGGGCCCGACGTGGCGTCTGCGCCACAGAGAGGGTATGAAAGAAGATCCTCCCTCGTGTACTGAACAATGGCAGCAGTACAGACAGCAGCCACACGATCACTCTGTGTTCCCTTCTCGCAGTTACAAGTTTATACCCCATCCATTGTAATGGCGCATACACTTCACACAGGCCCATGGGCAGGACGTACCTGAGCTAGATGACATTTCAGTTCAGACCCTAAGAGGAACAGATGGGGGCCCTTCATCCCCTGTGAGTCCTCATCACATCAACTTGATGATGGCACGGGGCTTTGGGGAGTCACCGTGAAATGGCTTTGGTTTTGCTTGACCCCTGTGCCCTGTCCCTTCCCTGCTAGGGTTCTCAAGGTGAACGGAGGTCTGCGCCTGCCCGTTCCGCTTCCCAAGCTGAAGAAGAACCCTGCCTGGAGCCAGTCAAGAGATCGCAGCACCGCTCTTCCTCGCTGGCCCAACACCACAATCATCGCAGTGGGACCAGTCGAGGGCTCTCCAGGCAAGAGACGTTTGACTCGGAAACCCAGGAGAGTCGGGACTCCGCCTACGTGGAGCCGAAGGAAGATTATCCCCACGAGCATGCAGACCACTATGCCCCACACCGGGAGCATAACCATCGGGACGAGGCTCACGGGAGCAGTGACCACAGACACCGGGAGTACCGGCACCGGGCCAGGGACCCGGATCGCGAGCAGGACCACCACGAGGGCAACAAACAGAGGAGCCGCCACAAATCAAAGGATCGAGACTGTGACAGGGACGGAGAGGTCATATCCAAAAAGAGGAACGAGGCTGGGGAGTGGAGCAGGGAGGTTTACATCCGCCAGTGACTTTCACCCTCCTGTGTGGTTTGGTTTTGTTGGGAAGGCTTGTATAACAGCACCCGTCACACACTCTCCACCCCGGAAACAAAATCTTTGGGGGCCCACATTGCAATCACATGTGATCTGTATTGGATGTTTTGTGTTGCTGTTGCTTAAAGAGCAATAGCATGGAATAGAGTATTAATATGCTCCCCCCACCCCACCCCCTTCTTTTGAAAGTGCTCTGTAGATTAGCCTGGCACAACTGCAGGCTGGCCTCCTGAACAAAATCGGTTGCCATCCGGGGTGGCGCGGTGGTGGTGTGTTCCGAAGGGTAGCTGATGTGCCCAGCAAGCCCGAATCCGCACAGATCCTAAGTGGAATTCATTTCTCCGGAATTTAAATATGTCGGCCCCTGATTTGCATACCCATGCATTCATGGACCACTGTTTCCAGCTTGTACCTCTGGCTGACTAAATTTGGGGACAGATTCAGTCTTGCCTTACACAAAGGGGATCATAAAGTTAGAATCTATTTTCTATGTACTAGTACTGTGTACTGTATAGACAGTTTGTAAATGTTATTTCTGCAAACACCTTTATTATAATTATATATAATATATTATATATATATATATCAGTTTGATCACACGATTTTAGAGTCTTAATGCCAAGTCAACAGATTTGCTTTATGAATTACCAGGACTAGAAATGTCCACATTCAGGAAATTTGTAATACCATTGTGTAGGCACTTTGTCTCATTGTAGTAGGAAGTCTGTACATATTGTAAATATGTGTGATTGCTTGACTTGAAAAGGTTTGATTTCTGAATGTTCTGCCATCCTTGTGAATTCATCATTATGACCATAAATGATGGTAAATATAACCAACTCCAGACATTGTTCTAATCCATAGAGTTCACACTGATTGTGAGAAACACATTCTGAGGAGCAAGGGTCTGCTGTAGCTGCGGCACTGGAGTTTCGGAGCCAGCATTCTCGGCCTGCACACACGCACACATGTGTCTGTCTGGATGAGAGCTGAGAATCTGGATGCTGAGAACAAGAGGAGACTGGTGCTTCCGGTCTGTCCCGCTGGCTTTTTGTTTAATTGTACTACATGTGGCTTTAATGATCCATGGAGCAGTCAGGGACGGTGAGCAGGTTTGCTGCCAAAGGTCACTAGGAAAGCATTCATCTGCTGGCTCTTGTTTTCGCTCTCGAGAGTGAAAATACAGGCAACTTTACTGTGAGTGTTTCACTGGAAATGTACAATCTCTGTTTGTTAGAGTATCTGTTTTAGTAAGAAAAGTTTACATAGCTTGTGGAATTTATTTCGTGGGAAAATAAATTTTTATAACTTCTCCCACTTTATTTTCAAACCTTGCCTACTGTTCCTGTTGTTTATTTTCCAGTTACCCATCGCCCCTTCCTGCCCCCCAGCCCCATCCTCTCCAGTGATTTCATGGTCTGTCAAATTCCAGAAGTGCTTCTTGTAACTGAGGTTTCCGCTCTCCTGTGTCATCAGGGCCAGATGAAGTGACTTGAAGTGAACACAGGTTAAGACTGCTTCAGGGCTTCAAGCCAGCCGCTCATGGTCCTCACAGCGCAGTCAGTCAGACGTGGGTGTACTCGATGACAACAGTGAAAAGCACAGGGTGAAACCCTGGAATGGGAGCTTCAGAAGAGGAGTTGGGAGGTGAGCCCTTTCCTGGAGCCCAGTGCAGGAGACTGTATACTGGCCGGCACGTGGACGCGACACATTCAGAACAGCAGTCAGCTGGCGTGCTTGAGCTGGGTACCGCGGTTTGACTCTCAGGCCAGACATCTGGCTGCTGTGCAGTGCTTGCGCTGCCTGTGTTTTTTATGAGGGAGGTTTTAAGTTTCTTACAGGACATTGGCCTGTCATTTCTTCCGTGACAGTTATCCTTACAGTATTCCCATATTTTACCAGGTTGGTTCCACTGTTGCTTCAGTGGTCATGACTGACTGGGAAGAACCAATTCAAAGCCCTTGAATATGTATGTATGTATGTATATACACATATATACCTATATCACATACCGATTCTGAAGGGGAACTAAAAATACTATTTCCAATGCCCCAGTTATACTGCTTGCTATAAGAGACCCAGAATGTTATTAATCATCTTAATGCTAACAGTGCTGTATGCCTTTAACTGTGCATTTTGTCCAGTGATAACTGGATAGGGAAAACAGTATTAGGTATGCAAGTACCAAGCACTTGACATTTATTCTGGGAAAATGCATACTATAATTTACCTAACTTCAGATCTGTAGATTAACTTATTTAACAAACTAATCATTATTAATCTAATTTTTGTTTTACTTCCTTGGTTAGTCCAGGTCTTAACATTTTTGAGCCTTTTAAAATAAAACTGTTTTTCCAATTTAACCCATGCTCCCAGCCCCCAAAGAAGCTTGGAATGTTTTGTTTTGTTTTGTCTTAATGATTTGAGCACTTAAGTGTTTCCTCAGCTAATATATGAACATTGCCCTCATAATCATTTGCTCATTAACTACTATTTACATGAGTTTTTGTGGAACATAAAACCAGTCATGATATGTTCATGTTTGTAACAACGTTCTCACATAATTGGGAAACCAGACACCAATTAAATTGGATTTTATAAAATTCTGATTTCCAGAATTTCCAGTATAGTAAGATGCTGTTGATTAATTCAAAGAGCAATGTGGACTCCATCCTTTTTGTGTGTGCCTGGATTCTTAAGATTCCCATCCCACCTTATAGACCATTGAGTCCCAGAGTCGTCCTCAAAAATCTACGTCACAGGATTTGACATAAAAGCAACTCCATGTGAAAACTGTATTGCACCCATATGAGTAAACAGTGTACTAAACATGCCAATGAGGAATTCATTCCAAGAACAGTGGGATATTTACTGACTTATGTGAATATAAGATCATAGTCTTTTCTTTTTTTTTTTTTTTCTTCATAGTCTTTTCTACATAGCAAAGCTGAATTGTGATCTGCTCGACTGTGAAATCATGACTTTTATACTCAACCTAGAAACTGCTGGAAATGTACTTACTAGTTCCATGCTTCTGGTTTGGGGTTTGTCCTCGTGGCCAGTTTTCCCTGTGCCCCTGCTCTGCTGCTCACTGAAGTCACTGTGGCCCCCAAGGTGCTGCCAAGAGGAGGGCGTCTCAGTCACACTGTGCTTCGAGACAATGCCCCCTGCTCTGCCGCCCTGCTCAAGTCACTGTCGGCGGCACCGAACTGTTCATCGAACCTGCTTTTGACAGCGTGAACATGAAACAAATGAAGAGCTGCCTTCCGTTGGAGGCAGGTTTCATGGAGAATGTTAAATAATCAACACATTTCAAGATGGACCGTTGTCCTTAAGGCGATGCCAATCACTTGATTTTTTTAAAGTAATTTTCCCTTAAGTATGACTTTTTTTTTTTAACTTAAAAATAAAGAGCTAGCAACTCAGGGTAGGCAAAGGGTTTTTCAGGATGTCAGCGGTAGCAGAGGTCATCTTTCTCCCACCTTCATTCGGCCGGCACAGCCGTTCCTGACTCCGATTTTGAGCCGTGTTCTTTGAGTTGTAAGGGCAGGCCACCTTGAGTTCCTCGGCTCTTGGCTCAGCAAGGCAATGTTACGAGTCTTGGTTGCTCTCAGCTGAATACAACTTCGAGTCACATGGTTAAAGACACAGGTAACTAGACAACGAGGGGTCAAGTTTCACTTCTGCTAAATTTTAACTGTTTGCACTGCACTTTGCTATTTAAAATTCCAGATGGGGTTTTGTACTAAAATGCATTCACTTGAATTTAAGTGATTTTTTTTCATTTCATAGAAATATCTATGCTAACACAAAGCATATCTTAACTCTCTGAAAGCTCTCCTTTTCTTGTTTCTCTTAAATTGCTTGTATCCCTTCAGTAAGTATTTTATTTTTTAATTTGCTTTATTTATCTTTTTTAAAGAAAGCCATTGAAAGTTGTCTAAACTAAAGAAGAACCATGAACAACCATCTTTATTTGTCCTTTCTGTCTTCAACATGCAAGTGCTGCAAATTTAATGTCATGATTTATATTTAGATACTTGCTGGTATTAATAGAAAATGTACACCAGCACAAGTTGGCTATAAGGCTGGTTTCTTTATCATTTTGATCTCAGCTTATCAGCACATAAGGTTCTGCAGAGGGTGCAAGACCGAATTGTGTGTTTTGCTTAAAATGTACTGAAGATTGGAGGATGTGTGCCAAGTCCTTAAAACAGAAGCACCACAGGGGAACAGTGGTTCTCTCAGTCAGCCGCTATCTACTGGATATAAGGGAGGGATAAGTCATTTTCATCTTAAAGCACTTGACATACATGTTTCACTCCTTCTGTAGTGTCTTACCAACTAGGAAACAGTGACACGAAAAGAGAGGATGACTCCCATGTCTGGGGTGTGGACAGGCAAGGTCCTAGATAGTACCCGTCAAGGATGAGGGGAGAGGCAGGAGAGCAGATTTGAGCGCTGGGAGAAGTAGAAGGATGGACCTAAACCATCCTCGGGGAAATGTGTTCATAAATGCTTCTTCAAAGAGGCCAGCTAAAGCTCCTGATTCAAGAGCCCTTATGATCTTTATAGATACAATAAATAATTATGAGAACTCTCTAAAGGCAAACTATGTGAAAAAAAAAACACCTGGGAAACTTGGGCACTTTGAATAAAAGCTAAGCAAAACCGTTTGATGTATTTAACACCCCGGGCAAGTCTTTAAGCTATTGCTTGGAACGATATAAAAACCAAGCCCACTACCATAGAGTCTACTGTGACTCATAGCACCCCTACAGGACACGGACAAGGATCCCTAGAATTTCCAAGACTGTAAAGCTTTATGGGAACAATAAACCTCATCTTTTGCATTCGGAGCAGCCGGTGGCTTTGAACTGCAGACCTTGTGGTTAGCAGTCAATCAGTCAGTCACAAAAATAGCTGAATTCACTACTGCTCTTCTATATCCCACTCAAGAAATTCAATGACATAAGGAGTGAGTTTCTGCCCTGCACTCTCATCATTCAGTGAAGGTCATATGGGCATGTGACAGATTTAGCTATTGCAAAGATGCAGACCCGGAATCCTGTTGCAATTGGTTGATACTTAAATGAGAAACAATTAGAATGACAGAAAAGCTCTATGTAATTAATATTTTCTTTCAGAATTTTCTTAATTCTTTGGTTAAGGATATTTACTAGCTTCCATACCATTGGTCCTAGTGATAACTGAACAAAGTCAGGTGTCTCCTGGTGAAAATAAAGACCTTCAGGAACTGGGGTATCCTACGTGATTTCAGGAGCTCAGGGTTTTGCTTCAGAGAAGGTAACGTCACAAAAGAGGTGAATTCAACGGCCTGCGCTGTTCACAGATCTTATCTAAACGTGGGTTGAAGGAAGCCAGGTTAGGTCTGTAATCAATCAAATGGCAGGTGTCCACACTGGCCACTTCTGTGCTTTGGATGATATTGTTTTTGCCCGAGGTCAGATTTGATTTTGAAGTGGTCACTGTCTGGATCTATCCAGCCTCGTCATCATGGTGGGCATTTCTGAGGTGTGTTCTGTGACGCTGCGTATGTTCCGCAGGAGCACAAGGCCCACCTGCGTCCCAGACCAGTGCCCGGCTGCCTGGAGCTGACTTCCCTCTCGCCAACCGATGTCGACTCATTGTATCATCAGTGGTGCACGAGCTACGAAAAGGTACCCCACTTAGAACATTTCCACACTTGGTCAGTCTGAAAGTGAAGGAAATCCTCACTTTGTTCGTTTGACTTCTTAAAAAAAAACCATATTGACATAAGACTATCAATGAAAAAAGAAGTACAGACTTCATTTGAAGGAGCTTTGATCTGCCAGTTTACAGCCGTAAGAGTGGTTATTCCGGTGGTGATGAGCACAGAGTAAACATGACACTCACTGCTCCTGCCTCGGACTCTTAAGGAACCACTCCCTTCACGGTCGTCAGGAACAGCACTTCTTTTATAATAAATGTAAATATTGCCATTTATTCCTTTGTTAGATTCCTTCGTGTGTGCTTTAGACATCTACAGGCAGCTCCTTTTCTCTAAACCCATCAAGGAAAAAGTATTTTGAAGACATAAAATACAACCACCTACCTTCCTCTTCCTTACTTCCTCTATGTCTCTTGATCCCTTCTGAAACAGCTGGCTGTCTTCTGTTTCCTTGGCAACGGAGTCATCAGTCACTTGGCTTGACAACACACCGTGGTTTAACACACACACACACACACACACACACAGCGAATGTTGAGAAATTTAATTTCTGAGGACTCTTCTATGTGCTTTTGCATTTCACAAATTTTGCGATAAAAAAACCTATACAGTCCTTGTTCGCCAACCAGATGACGTCTTCTCTTCTGGTGTCTCCGAGAGAATGAATGTCAGTGTCCTGTAACGGCACAACAGATGGATCGAATCGCTGCAGCTGTTTCAATTGTGCAAATGATAGGCCCGCACCCATCATCCCTTCTCCTCCGATCTGCGGGTTCTGTGGAGAGAAAAAGGGTAAGTGTGGAGGGGCGTCCTGTAATTAGCAGTGAGCCTCTGTACAATTTAATGTAAATGAGAAATTGGAATGTGTCTAACTGTGTCTAACGTGTACCAGAAAATAGAAAAACGAGTACATTCTATCGTGTGTGTGTGTGTGTGTGTGTGTGTGTGTGTGTGTGTGTAGAGTGCCCATGCTATTTTTTTCAGGCAGTCATTTTTCGACTTTGTTCACTCAGTGAATGAGTATCTCTTATGTGATCTTTTATGTCACATTTGCTTGTCACGTCCCATGACACTACAAAAGGCCTGAGCTTCATACGTAGAAATCCATGAATTCAAATTGTGGCTCTGCCAAAATCCAGCTGTGTCACCATAAGTAGTAACTTTACCTAACTCTTGGTTCCCCGTCTCTAAAATACTGAGCCACAAGACTTAAATGAAGAATGTACTCCGATACTTGATATTAGTTAGTTAGCACTCAATTAAAACAGACATCATGATCACCGTAGCAACAGGTAAAATTCAGTTATGTCCACCAGATGCCTCCAAAACTCTGACAGAAGTGCCGTAGGCATCTTTCCCACTTAAATGCCTCTGTGATCCACACAAGCTAAATGGGAAGTCTGTCTTTTTAGTTTTTTGAAACGTCTGAGAGCAATAAATGCTAGAGAGGAACACATGGGTCACACAGCATCGGCTGGTGTAGGGGAAGAAGACTCACGAGGAACCCAGGGATGGATGCGGATAACGCCCTCCTGCAGAGGGCCCCTGATCCCAGCTAATTCACCATGGCAGACACTTGCATGTGGGTCGGGCTAGTTTGTCCAGGCATATACTTAAGAAAACACACTTGTAGTAGCCCCATGGAAAAAGAGACTTTCTACGCGTAAGCATACGACATTCAGTGAGAGAAAGAAGGGAAGGAAACACATATATGTATTTAATATGTATGCAGATGTATGTATATAAATGAGGAGACTTTAAAAAGTTCAATGCAAAACAAGATTTAAAACAACTAACATTTTCCATGAATATTTTGAAGTGCTCTCATGCACTTCACAGGTAAAATTCTAAGTGAAGTCTGAAGTCTTCCCTCCATCCACGTATATTCTTTTATACCCTCTTTCTCTGGGTCATAGAAACCATCTGAGATGGCTTTTTATTTATACATTCCAACTATAAACTAGAATTCTGTACAAGAAAATACTAATGTTCAATATTCAATGTAATTTCAACTTAACCTCAAACCTCAAATATAGAACCTTATATGTCATTTTAAAAAACCACACTGGAAAGTTAGACAGTTCTAAGTAGCATCAATCTGTTTAAAGATTACACATCCTAGAAACAAATCGTAAGAAAGCAATCATCCTGCACTTTTCCCCTATGGCTGGTCTTTTATATCCCATAGTTATTAAAGCCTGCTCGGGCTTTGAGGTGACAGGAAGGAAAAAGGGTCAACATTCTATATATTAGAAAAATATCGAACTGGGAGGAGGGAAAGAAAACTTTTAAAAACAAAGTTCTGAGTACTGTGAACAATAGCTACGAGTGGAATAAACATGTAACAAAAATCCACCTAGTTTCCATGGCTTGTTGACAGACTCGTAGATCCATCACAAGACCGTGTTGGTCAGAAAGTGCGGATTCTCTGTGAGCAGTCTCTCTCAAAACTCACTGCCATGTAGTGTCCTTCTAGGACAGAGGAGAACTGGCCCTGCAGGTTTCTATGGGAGTAGAAAACCTCAGCTTTCTCCCTCAGAGAAGCTGGTGGTTTTGAACTGCTGACTCTGCAGTGAGCAGCCAAACCCCTAACACCAACAATGCTCCTATGAACAGTCTAAATGGTTCCTGTTAAAGAAATATGTTTCTGTAGTATTTGTTTCCAAAATTTTGCTTGACGTATTTCTTTACGCCACACTCTGTTTACTACCATGCTGAAGTTTCCGTGATGTATCAGATGAAATAGAGACGAAATGAAACATGTGTTGTCATGATCTGCACCTATGGTACAAACACCATATCCTTTTCCTGAAACATCCTAAGCAAGGTTTGTGCTGCCCCAGATGATAGTCCATGTGCAGCTGGGATTTGCTTTTGTATTTATTACTTTGTTGCTCAGTTAAACATGTCTTCCTGTGTGATAGAGGCCCCGCTTGCATTTGTGTTAGACTTGTAGCTTTCAATGGAGCCCGTCCTTTAACGCAGTGGTTCTCACCCTGTGTGTTGCGACCCCTTTGGGGGTTGAACGACCCTTTCACAGGGGTCGCCCGATTCATAACAGTAGCAAAATGACAGTGATGAAGTAGCAACACAAAAAATTTTATGGTTGGGTGGGAGGCACCACAACATGAGAAACTGTATGAAAGGGTCGAGGCATTAAGAAGGTTGAAAACCACTGCTTTAACGGCCTGGTTAATCCTGTTTTTGAGGATCCTGATGAGGGTGGTGTGTGAAAAGTCTAAATTACAAGCAGTAGCATCTACTGATTTTCCACCTTCTAGTTTAGTAACACTCTGCCGCACTTCCAAATCAGTACTCTCCTTTGCCTCTTGCTGTTGCTGCATTTGAGAACCATGATGCACTCTGCAGTAATCTTTTTGAAAGAAAACTAAATAGAGAAATCGTACTCCAGAGCTATGCTACTGATGAGACTGGATGTTGCTGCCTATGAGTGGAAGTGTACACAATCATTAGAGAGTACAACACTGTACACGCACTAGCTGTCAATTGAAACTATCAAGACAAAGGTGTTGTGGGTTATTTAAGCATCGTACCATCATACACCTGTCACTGCAATTGCTTCTCATAGAAGAGACGTGAGATACAGGCTGCACATGGGAAGTTGTGGCGTTCACTATGCCACCTCCTCTGATTGGGATTTCTGAGCCTTACGGGACCATGGATATATGTCTGTGGTCTGAGATTCCTCAGGTGGATACGAAATAAGTAGTTCATGACTGTCCTCTTACCTGAGGCTGAAGCTGAAGGCAAGGGAATGTTCTGAGGGCCCAGGCAACTTGCTCCTCGTTTTCTGCCAGTGTTATGGTGCATGTGCTGTACACCAGCACGCCCCCTGGCTTCAGCAGCTGAACTGCCTACAGAAACATGCGTACATTAGACACACATCCCGCAAGTCTAAAGAGACCTTCGGAGAGATTTCCTAGCACCCTATCTGATAGAGTTCAAGCGTTAGGGATAAAAGAACAAATTTTCCACAACAAGGATTCTCTAATTAGAGTACATAATCCTGCAGATTTAACGTATTTCATTACCTTGGAACTGGTAAGTAAGTCCACAAAGACCAAGACATTCCTAAATATCATCATCCAGTTTCAGGGTTTTAGACACTATTTCTACGTTGACAATTCACAAAGATTCACTTTTACACTAGAATTATTTTGTGAACTGCAGACTCCTATCTGCAGTAGCCCTTCCAACATTTCTACTGACTACCAAAAAGGCATTTCAAATTTGACGTGTCAACACTAAGCTCCTATCTTCCCTCCCAAGCCTACGGGACCAGCAGTCTCCCTACCCGTCCAGCTATGCAGGACCCAAGTCCTGGTGGTTATCCCTATTGCCCATTTTTCAAATATTTTATTAACAGAAAACTCTACTGGCTCTACCTTCAAAATATACACAGAAGTTGGCTTCTTTTCACTATTTCCACTGGTAGCACTCTAGTCCAAACCTCAATGATGATATCTGGATTGCCAAGCAGACTCCTACTTCATCTCTCCACTCTGAAAATGTACTCTCAGTATAGCAGGGAGAATAGCCCTGTGGAAACGTGTCACCGCTCAGCCCCAAGCCCTACCCATTTCCACCCTCCATGATCTCTAGGGTCAAAGCTGATGTCTTGGCAGTGGCTTAAGGCCCTACACCGACCAGAGCTCTCTGCTCCGTCTTGACCTCATCTCTTACACTTCTGATCCTTGCTCACGTTGTCTCCGCGACAGCAGCCTAGTGCTGCTCCTGGCAATGCGAGGAACACACACGCCTATCTTAGGAGCTTAGCTCAAAAAGCTCTTCACGGCCTGCATGCCTGGCTCCTTTGTAATCTGATTTTCATTTTATTTGGGTCTCTCCTTTTCCATGATGCTCTCCCTAACTACCCTATATGAAGCTGCAATTGTTTGAAGCCAGCACTGCTAGCCACCTGCCTCTCTCCGGCCCGCGGCATTGTTACCGGATCGCAGACTGTTTGTTTTCCTCCCCAGTGAGAATAGAAACTCTCAGTAAAGAAGGCAGAGTTGGTCTGTATTGTTTCTTCGCTACTCTATGGTCAGCCCATAGAATATGTGGTAGGTGCTCAATGAATATTTGTCAGTTAAGTTCAGGAAACTAGGTGTTATTCAAAAATGAACTGGTCCCCAATAACAACCGTTGGTTTTTTCAAATTCCCCAATGTTACCCTTTAAATTTTTTGAATGAAAATCTTTTGGGAAAATATAAATCTACTTTCTTAACCAGCATATGCTGATCAAAACTTTGATTTGGGTAGTATATGCCAGCTACTATGCCGGACACTTTCACATGGGGTTTTCTCTAAATCCTGTCACAGCCATTAGGTTATCCCCACTGGGATGCCCCTTACCAACCAGTTATGTCCTCGCTTCTTACATCCAGACCCTTCTCTCCTTAAAGTCACTGCTGAGGCAGTAGGAAGCTGTTCCACTCCCACTGCCCACAGGACGCGTGCGCTGACGGTGCCCTGGAAAAATGCCCTCTGGGGCAAGCAGAGCCCTGTCTCCTGCAGCCTTTCATGATAAGGCCCATGATGAACTTTGTACTTGGAGCTGCATGCTCCAGCATCTAACCATGGGTTCGGGGAGAGAAGGGAATGTGTTTCCGCTGATGCTCCACGGTTGGAGAGGGGATCATGAACCCACCCACGAGCTTCCTGTTCCTTTTCCATCTTCATATGTATGCTAGCACATGAGACCCTCTGGTTACAGGTGATCAACCCCATCTCTCCAAGACCAGCCCAAGAAGAAACCTTACCCTGGTCCTTTCTGTCCTCATCACTGCTAAGTAATCAAAGCTGCTGACCTCACCATTCGGGAATGCCAATTATCTGCTCAGGACCCACAGCCCTGCCCTGCATGAGCTCCCTTTCTTCCTCAAGTCAAGACAGGTCTGATTCTGAGGTCTGTGTTTTCGGTCACTTTCCGGTCTGTGCTAAACGCTCTCTGTCACACGCTGAGAGCAGTAGAGTCGGCTTGCTTGGATCCACAATCAAGGCTCATGGAAGCAGCAGTCAAGAGAGCACATGATGCCTTTCCTGAGATTAGGTCACCCTGCCCCACAAGACGTCTTTAGAGTAGTGAGTGCAAGGCCAGGATGTCACATACTTTGTACATATTGTCAGGAGAAGGCAATCCTCGGAGAAGGACATCATGCTTGCTTAAGTGGAGGGGCAGCGAAAAAGGGGCAGGCCCTCCGGGAGATGGAGGGACACAGTGGCTGCAACAACGGCAGAAGGGCACAGGGCGAGGCCATGCTGCCTTCTGTGGTCAGACCCCACTGATTGACACCTCACAACAACCCTACCAGCTCTCTGAAATTCTCTTTCCGCTATGATCTGAAAAGAACAAAAAGCATTGTTGTGTCTTTAAACAATGCCCTAATCTACCCACAAACCAAAATGATTCCAGCGATAATTTAAACTATTTTATAGTCACTAATTTAATTTCCAAAAGGGATTCTTGGAAGATTGTGTATAACAAGGAAGAGATGAGCCAGTCAGGGTGCAGGGTAGCACCGATGAAACATACAACTTTCCTCTAGTTCTTTAATGCTTCCTACTCCCCACCACTATCATGATCCCAAGTCTACCTTACAAATCTGGCTAGACCAGAGGATGTACACTGGTACAGATCAAAGCCGGAACCACAGGGAATACAGGACAGATAAGCCCCTCAGGACCAATAACGAGAATAGAGATACCAGGAGGGTTGGGGGAGAAAGGGAAACCGATCACAATGATCTACATATAACCCCCTCCCAGGGGGATGGACAACAGAAAAGTGGGTGAAGGGAGATGTCAGACAGCATAAAACAAGAAAAAATAATAATAATTTATAAATTACCAAGGGTTTGGGAGGGAGGGGAAAAAATAGGAGGAGCTGAGACCAAGGACTCAAGTAGAAAGCAAATGTTTTGAGAATGATAGCAACAAATGTACAGATGTGCTTGACACAATGGATGTATGTATGGATTGTGATAAGAGTTGTATGAACCCCCAATAAAATGATTTTAAAAAAAACAAACAAGTTCAAAACAAAAAAAATTATAGAATATCGCTCAGGAATAGACTTGGTGGGCAGCTTGAATGGTTATGAAAATTACATGTTATTTGTTCATTTCCCAAAAACTGACTTTCAAGATTACTCAGTAATAAATGAACTTTTGTCTTAAAAAAAAAAAGATAATGGTAATCCACTACCTGTACAATCATTTTATAGAAAAGGAGACACCAGGAAGCAGTAACTTCTAGCAGAAGCAAAAATGTATCTGACAACTGTAGAGACCGAACAATGATAGTATACTCAATCTTGTTAAAGCTTATGTATTTACAATTAGAGAACTGAGAGGAAATAATGAAGTCATCTTTGATCAAATGCTATTCATCCACTGTCTCATCTTTCCAAGACTAAGAGAAATCTTCAAATGGTCTGGGTTTCCTGACACAGTTAAATGTTTGTTTTTATTTGCCTCTCTTGGTCTCCTTCCAATTGTTACCTGAGATGACCCAGGAAGAAATACAATTAGCCCTATTTTTAAAAAATGTAATATTATAGCCAGTGCTTTGCATGAGTTAGTAACTATTTGTTGACAAATTGTGTGTGTTTAATAAAGTAAAGTACTTGGGAATCCCTAATTAATTTTTAATATCAATCAATCAATAAATTTTTAATGTCAAAAAAATCACAGTGAAGATATTAGCATAGTACTGGTATATGTTAAAGGGGCAGTCAACATTATAGGAATGCTACCTGTATTTAAAGCCATGTCCTCTCTGTCTTTTAAACTATTAAACTGGAGAAGGTCAACGTTCTTGAGCAGCAAAGATCATCACGTACCGCAGAAAAGAGTTTTCGCTGTAATGGCTGGTATGATGTCACCTCCTTCAAAGTCCAGGTACAAGCCATGTTGGGTCTCTGGCCCAGTCCACTGCAGGGTGCATCAAGAAGAATTCGGTCAAAAGATTCTGGTAAGAATGGAGGTTTCCCTATAATGAAAATGAAAAATGAATTTGCTATCTGCCCTTGTGATCAGTAAAATAACTCTTGAGAAAAATAACTCTTGAGAGAGAAGCAATGAACAGGAAATATTAAGTCACAATTTGGAGCTGAATGCACAGAAAGACAATTTCTACCTTTATTAAGAGTATGGTTAAGCTAGTTCTAACTAAATGTTTATTGTAGTATAGTATAAATATTAAAAATTAAGTTATGATAATTTGGGAATGTTTTAGGTGATTTAGTGTAAAGTAAGACCTAATCAAATGAGACCTTTTATCCCCAGACTTCAGAAGTCATGATTCATCAGAGTTATTATCTGGAATGAATTCACCAGATAACACAGGGCAGAAAAGAACAAACAAAGATACACAGAAAAGGCCACGGGGTTCCTAAAGCTAAATATAAGAATTAAACTAATAAAACTCTTAGTAAGAAGATATAGGGTGATAACCTCATTACATTGGATTAGCCAACAGTTGCCTAGCAACTAAAAAAAAGGCAACAAAAGCACAAACCATAGAAAGCTTATATACTGAATTTTATCAAAATTAAAACCTTTTATGTTTCAAAAGACAAGAAAGGGACTGAATACCCCCACAGAATGGGAGACAGCCCACAAAGGAAGAAGCCCTTGTGGTCTAGTGGTTACATATGGGGCTGCGATCCACATGGTAGGCAACTCAAAACCAGCAGGAGCATCGTGGGAGAAAGACTGGGCTTTCTACTCTGATAAACAGTTACAGTCTCGGAATTCCACAGGGAGTCGCTAGAGTTAGCACTGTCTCCATGGCAGTGAGTCCACAAAATAAAGGATCCCTGGTAGCGCGGTTAGGTAAGCACTAGAGTGCTAAGTACAAGGTCACTGGTTCAAATGGATCAGCAACTCTACCAGGAAGATGAAGCTGGCTGTTCCTGTCAAGGTTGACAGCCTCAGAAACCCGCTAGAGGGTCACTCAGAGTTGGGATGGACCCAATGTCAGTGGGTTACGTCTGATAAGGAGCTTGTATTTAGAAGATAGTAAGAGCCCTTAAAATTCAATACTGAAAGACAAATCACCGAATTAGAAGTGGGAATATCCAACAAGATAGTTAATAATAAAAAAAAGAAGTGACAAGTGATTTAAAAAAATAAAGTTGTAGTAGTAAAACCCTCATAAGCTGCTGGTGAGAATGTAAAATGATACAGTTGTATTTTGTACCAGTTTTGCAGTTCTTCCAAAGCTTAAAAAATAGACTTACCTTCTGACCCAGCAAGTCTGCTCCAAGTACCCCAAAGAAATAAAAACAGAATAGTCCACACAAAAAAGCACACACAGATGCCCCATATCAGCACATTCCTAACGGCCAAAACATACAAACACATCAAATGTCCATTGGATGGTGACTCAGAAAACAAAAGGTGGTACATTCACACACTAAAGTAATATTTAACCATAAAAAGTAATTAAGTACTGAGACATGCTAAAACCCAGATGGCCCTGAAAGCATTACAGTGCAGTAACAAAACTGATCAAAAAGGTCCACACTTTGCTTCTGCTCATATAAAAGTATGATCCCATTGATCTACAATATGCAGAAAAATCTCGAGATACAAAGCAGAGCAGTGGTGGTCTATAGCTGGAGGGTCTGAGGCTTGTTTTCAGGGTGATGGATGTTCTAAACTCTGTTGTTACAACTACATTTCTGTGAATATGTTAAAAACCATTCAATGAGTCAATTGTATGGTATGTAAAGACAAAAAAGATTAGGATTTTATTAAAGTTGGTGCTGCAATGTTCATTTAAAAACAATCTTTATATTCATTATAGAGAATGATAAAATATCCTCCTTTTAAACAAGTGATACAATTTGGAGCCCTGGTGGTGCAGTGGTTACACTTTGGGCTGCTAACCACTAGGTCAGCAGTT